TTTTTAAATTTTCTTGCTAACCTGGTTAGCCCTCTTAAAGGCCATTTAATGTTTTACATAACACTCCAAACCAGGAAAATGCTCAGGCAGTATTACCCAACTGGTTATATCAGTTTTCTTTTTTTTTTTTTCCTTTGGACTTTATGAGGTAAGAGGATAAAATCTTTGTCTGAAGATCTGTGTAACATTTTCTTGGAGTCTATATTATCCTTCTATGGAATGGTTAAAAAAAAGAATTACTTTAATCGCTTGCTTTTTTTTGACGGTTTGTAACAATGTCTTGCATTTGTGAGGTATACTGAGTCCTTAGAGTTGCCAAAACAGCCTTTCAGTAGGGCTCTTATCCCGGAATCAGCAACTGTAACACAGACGTACGTTGCAGAATTCCAATTAATGAAATGAGGCCAAGCGAGGGCACGTTGGTCTGTAAGGCAAATGGCTGATTTTGCAAGAACGAGTGGTCACGCAAACTTGTATGTTGGGACCATTTTATGGTAATACTAAAAAGTAGGTACATGATGCTGTACAGGTTACAGGAAGTGAAAATATGAACTCAGAAAATGTTTCTGAGGTGTTAAAAGGTAACATGTTTGGGGGACAAAATAGAGTAAAAAGGTAGTGAGAGGTAAATGTGTATTTAATGATTAACAGGAGGACTTCAGTCGTGTTTGCTGAGAATATCTGTCAAGAAGTAAACATACTGTCTTCTAGGCGCTGTCAACAATTATCAACTAAGGTTACCTGTTTTACTTGAAGTGCAGGAAATTGTAATAGGTTAAGAATCAGATTTTTGTTAAACTTCTGAGTGGGGATATTTATATGAATTCTGAGTAATATTTTTAGATTTAAATAGAATTTCTAATGTTGATAAAATTTGTCATAGTTGTCTGAAAATTACGTTGTCACTGTGGTGATAAGAAAAATAACCTGACAAGTTTTCCTGTTGATTTAAAGAGCAAGAAGTTCAGAAGAACAACTTGTTTCAGAAACAAACTAGATTTGAATTGTTTCAATTTCAGTAATCCTAGATAAAATAAGATTCGTTAAGAAAGATATGGAAAAAGTGTCTTGCTAGTAGAATTTTACATCTAACAATGCTCTTTTTATTTGTTATGTATTAGATATTACAAAGAAGAATAAACTTTGTGTTTTATTAATAAACTAGCCAGAGTCCTATATTGTCAGCAGAAATTTTTCTCATTGCTCATGAAAGAAGATTAAAAAGTGCATACTTCAGACATCCTAATGTTGTAGTGCTATGAACGTGTATTCTACAACTGTTTCATACAGATGACATTAGCATCTAATTTATATTTCCTCTCAGGTTGAATTATTGTTCACCTGTTGTGTTTCCAATGGATTTTTCTGGATGCTTTAACTTATGGTGGAAACTCTCCCAGTCTATCTTGAAGTGTTTCTCTTGTATTTTTAGAGTCAGGTCAGTGTGCTTTGGTAAATGCAGTCATTTTTCATTTGCTGAGTTCAGAAATGTGGTCTTTTACAGTAGCCATTTGGCTCGCATTTTCCTGGTGTGCAGTTTCTCCCACTAGATTTATAGATTTAGTTTTTAAAGTAATTGAGTAAAATTTTTTACTTATTGCCTGTTAGTGAGATTTATACACAGTATTTATACACAGTAAATAGACCTTACCAGTTTCTTGTACTTGCTTCTTTCATGGATCTCCTGTGCTCTCACTTGTCATGAAACTTTCAGGTCCCAGTGTGCCATCTACTTCTTGGAGGTGCAGTTTCACCAGCTCTTTCAGCCATGCTTATTTTTTACGCAACTCAGTGGGATTTGTGCTGGATCCCAAAGCATGTATCTTCACTTCCATCTCTTCTTCATGCTCTGCCAGACTTCTGTTACTTAGGAAGACTACTTGAAAACGTGTTCTTTGTTTCTTAGCCATTCATCTGTTGCCACTCTTGATTCTTGGATGTAGTAATGTCAGTGATTTGGTCACTTTCAGAACAACCTGTTGGGATATCATAGGGGTCATGATTAAAGGAAATGAAGAGCTAATATGGATGGTTTTTAAGTAACAAAGGTACTGTTTTCCTGTAAATATCTAGAGAGCAAAGAAGCAAGAAAGAAAAAAGAGAAAATATTTGAATGCTTGCAGTTAGACCACAGCTGATTTTTATATCCTTTTACTTGTTTTGTTTGCTGCCCATCATGTGTCTAAGGTTGATTTGGAGACCTGATCTAAAGGACAGCGGTTTAGCAAACCTGGACTGGCATCTCTAAAGTCTGTTTACTTAGCCCCAAAAGTCTTGTTATATCCCAGTGTACTCCCAGTCTTCCTTCTGAACTCTAAATCAAAACGAAAATGGGTCTGGTTTGGCCTGTTGTGTTGGTTCTTTGGTTTTTTTTTTAGTTTGTGGTTTGCTTGTGGTTTGGCATTTTTTTTTTCCCCTTAAAAAATTTTGTCTCAGAGTTTAAATAGTTCAAGTGACATTTCAGCAATTTTGAACTTTTTCTACACTCAGAACGAGTTGAATTTGCAGTTGAACTTCTACTTTAGGATTCACAGACTATGCTCACAAGTGACACTACATGATTAGCAAATAGAAGTTTAGTCATTGGATGGCGTTTCATGCCTGCTTCTTTGTATGTGTGCAGCGTGATTTGCAGATGAACAGACCCCAACAGGACTTGTTATAGACCTAGCTGCGTTAAACAGTATTCCACGGACAAGAGCAAATGTGTGAGAAGGCTTTTCAGAATAAGATTGATTTTTATTGTTGTGTTTTGATATATTTTTTGTATTTTAAATTGGCTATATCCTAATAGGTCATCAGGCCCAATCAGCTTATGGAGAAATAATTAGGAGAGGATCCCAGTACATACTAAGGAATGACCTTCTTCTAGGAGAGTGTCTTACAGTGCCTGTTGCATTGTATCATTTTGATCTTTTTTTCTGCCTCAACCATCTTTATTCCATTATATTGCTGATATTCCTATGGATTTCTCTACCATCCTTCTTTATAACTTAATGAATTACTTATTTTTCATAGTTACTAAAAACTAAGGGTTTTTTAAGTAGGTGTTTGTGAAGATACAAATTTTACCTTTTTGATGAGTCTCCAGATTTCTGGTGTTAAATATCTGGAATGTAATTTGGGAAAAAAGGACCTTTTTTCCCACATTGGTTTTAGGGACACCGAAATTCATTTATTTGCCTCTTCTACATGTTTTCCTTGTGTTATATGCCGAGATAAGAGAGTCAGACATTTCTTGTGCCCGTTCCTTAAAACGATGCTAGTGTTTTTTTACAATGTGTTGAACTCCTTAGTTTTAAGGAGGTTTTCTTGATGTTGATATTAATTCCCAGCAAATATATATAGCTCCGAGTTGGTAAGTTTTCAAGCATTAAACCACTGAGCAAGATAGGCTGAAGATTTTGGTAGTAAGGATGTGTGAAAAATCCAAGCATCTTTAGTGTATAGTTTGTGGGCTGGCAGCATATCCATCTGCTTTGAACTAACGTGAATTTTAATTTTGTACAACGAACTGTGTTGCTGCTGAGTGTAAATGAAGTCATGGTGTGAAATGCCAAGAGTCAGCAGTGCTGAAAGCAATGTATGTTAAAGTGCAGTATCTGTGAATACAAAGCTGCCCTTCTGGGACACTGTGCAAAATGATGTAACCGAGTGAAAAAGCTCTGCAAAAGTATATTTCACTTGCTGTAATTGAGTGTCTTCACTGCAATACCTTCATGAGGCTTGGCTATGATGCTTTCTTGACTGTGCAGTGGGATTTTATTGTATGAAAAAAGCTCTTGACAATAGCAGCCAGAGATACTGAGGTTTTATTTTGTTGCCCTGCACCTGTGCTTCAGCACTGCTACAAAGAGGGAACACTAAGGAAAGTCTTTATTGTGGGTAAGTTTGCAAAGAAATTAGCTTCTGAAAAATTCAGGCTGTCCTTTTAAAATGCTTAACTGTTGGTAGAGTTGCAAAAAGTTCAGATGACCACCTGTTTCTTTCTCACAACCTTATCTAAGTATTCATATCCCTGCAGCAGCAACATGATGTCAGAGTTTCATGAAAAGCACAATGGAGTATTTCAAACGTTTTTGTTCTGGTGAATTAATTTCTGTAACTGCTGAAACCCTTTCAGTTATTGGATTAGAAATCTTGTACTGATAAATGTGATTGTTTCTGGAAATGTAAATGCCCTGTGCTGAGTCTCAGTTTTAGATACTGTGGAATTTGCATATCAAGGAATTAAACTGTAGAGGTTGTTGCTACTGAAATAAAATAAATGGTGTTCTTTGATAAAGATGATGATGTTAATGAGAGGTGAACGCATGTGAGTAAAATTAAAGCACATTAATTTTTTTTTACTTCTGCATTATTACTAGATTAGAAATGTTTGCTAGTTTGAAAGTACTAGAAATGTTTGATAGTCATATCACCACACTGCTGCGATAGCAGCAATGTACTGCTGATGAGACAAATCAAGTAGTAAGCCATCTTTGCTTGCCATTATTATCATTAATATGCCAAACTAATGAACATCGAACTTAAAACTATGCATTAAGCCAGTCTGTCCAAATGGTGAATTGCTTCATGATTAAATCCTATTTCAGACTGCACTCAGTTATAACTTGCATTGAGTTTTTGGAAGAGCTTGTATGACTAGGTGAGCTCATGCTTCTCACAGCAGATGGCTTTTATGAGAAAATACAATGGTTTTGTTTTGGCTGTGGATCTCAGTTGCTTATTGATAACTTGAAAATACAGGTCACATGTCAATCAGGTCATACGACAGGACTTTAAAGTAGCTTAGTTTCTAAAAAAAGATCCCTCTTGGCTATGTTAAACTAAAACCATCAACAATAGGATTCAAGTGCTTCTTAGGTCGCTACCAGTTTGGAACAGGACAAGAATGCAGTGTTATAATGCCAAGAAGTTGTTTGTTTGTTTTCCCTTTCTCACTGCTAGGATTCCAACAGGAAAATTTTCTTGACCTTGTGTCTGGGTAGCTCTTGAGGATGGCAAGCAAAGGACCCACGACTTCTACATCAACAAAGAACTCCAGTACTGGAGGGACCAGTGGCAGCAGTAGCAGTAATGGTGCTGGGGACAATACTAATCAGGACAACACTTTTGAATGTAACATCTGTTTAGACACTGCCAAGGATGCAGTTATCAGCTTGTGTGGACATCTCTTCTGGTAAGTACTCAAGCCTGCAACAGATTAAAACACATTTCTGTATGTGATCTCTCTGATCACATAAAAGCCTATGATTTTTATAATTCTAGATAAATATGTCTTGTATAAAATGAGGAAGGACTTTGGTTTAGGAGCAGTTTGGATTTGTTCCTCAACTGTTTTTTCTTTGCTCATGTTCCAGGGAGTGGGTTTCTTGTGTCTTAAACTTCCTATAATTCTGGATTATTTTTGTGAAAGCAAACAAACAAGCAGCCCCACATAGACAGTTCAGTGTTCGTTGATACTGCTTGGTTATGTGTGTTATTTCATTTGTGCTGTCTGGTCTAGCATAGATACCTTGTTCAGACCTAAATTCCTTTCTAACCTGTGCATACCTAAGCCTGCATCTGAAACTAGGTTCTGGAGGCCAAATTGTAGTTTTCATACTTTCTACAAGCTTGCACTTTTTTCCTTTGAAACAAACAAAAAATTAAGGTAACAAGCTTTTACATGTGGGCTATTTCTCTTTTCCTGTGGTATTGCAGTTGTAATACTAACTTTTCCACTTTTTGATCTAACTTGGGAATGTGTCACACAAATAAGCATGCCGCATTTCTTATTTGGGTAACTTCGTTTAGAATGTACTCTTTCTTGAATGTTAAGAAGTTAGTACGGATTGACATAGGCAAATGGTTGTTGCGGGGCGGGTAGGTTTATTTTACACAGTAGGCTAAATTATGCTCTTTAATAAAAAGAGGCCTAAAAGAGCATTTATCTTCTGTGTAAATGTATGTAACATCTGAAAATCCAGATTTTTATTCTAGGAGATGGAAAATGACTTGCTGATGGCATGTTAAGATAAAATTAGATTAAATTATTGCACAAAAGGATTTGGAGGAATGGAACCTTAAAAAAAAAAAAGCACGTATCTTATCTGAATAGTGTTAAGATCACTTTGAAAGCAGATGGCTGCTTAGCAGTTTTATTTCATAGCCTGCTTGTTTGTCTTTGGCCTTTTTTAAGTTACTGTATTAATTTACTCTTAAGAGTAGTTCTTTATAATGGAAATTTCTCTGCCCTGAACAACTGGGTATGATCCCAATAGGTGACCCTGCTCTGAGCATCATGTTGGACTAGAGGCCACCTGAGGTACTGTCCAGCTTGAATTATTCCATGGTTCTGTGAATGTGTCCAATGTCCCTTGTGTGACTTCTTTTAACATCCTGAAGTCTCATTACTGACATCTTCCTCATTTGCATCTTAGCTTGGGGATATCTTTTCATGGTATCAGAAGAGAAAATCTGTACAGTAAACACTAAGATTAATTAAGCCTCTGTATGGGCCTTTGGTGTGGATGAGGATGCAGGAATCAAAGGTGATATGCAGAGAGTCACGTTAGCAACTTAGTTAGATTGCATAACCTGAAAAGACCAGTGAAGATCAGTCTTGGGCTGTGCTTTCAGAAATTATTTTAATGGGAGGTTATGGAACTGGCCCAGCTGGATTCCAGGATGCTGTTGTCTCCAAGCTGTGCTATCCGTGGTACACTTAATACATTTGCCGGATCGGGTTGTCAGTAACTAATTCTATTTTCCCCTCTTTTTCTGCTTTGTGAACAAATTGTCCTGGGAATGCTCACAGTTGGCCTTGTTTACACCAGGTAAGACAGGTTTCCTTTTACTTTGTCTTTCATCAGCTTCTGTTACTCAATAAAGCCCTTGGTTCTCTGGAGTATCCCCCTTTTTTCAAATGTACTTCTTTCTCTCCAGGGCAATCACAACCTGCTAGTGCAACTTCACGCGCAACACCTTGCAATCTGCTCTTTCAGCAAAAAGAAAACTAGATTGTGTTCCACTTGCCTCCCACTTTTGTTTCTTAAACACTGAGTAGTCCCAGTTTTGCTAGGAGAATTACTGTAGGCAGCTCACAGGTGTTTAGTTTGCAGGCTTAAGTGCTGCGTGTACTTCTCTTTGCATATGCAAATGCGTTTTACGTTGTGGTACCATTATAGAAAAGATAGATGAAAGGAGGGTATCTACACTACCCCTTGGCCTATGCAGGATGTTGGTACTATTTATTTCTTCATATTTTACTCCAGTGCAGTTCTGAATGTGTACATGTCAGCAAGTGGATCATACCAGAACAATAGCCAAAATGCCAACTCCACTTTGGAGAGTACTTGGAGCGTATTAAAATGTTTTGCTCCATGCCTTTCTGAGAAATTGCTAAAGTCTCTCTACCCGGCTGCAGATGAGGTTTGCATGTTGTTGTTTTCATGGTTTTTTACTAGTTTTCTTATAATTTCCTTTCTTTTAGTGGCTAGAGACCAGGCCAAACAGACAGGTGTGTCCTGTATGCAAAGCAGGAATCAGTCGAGATAAAGTTATTCCTCTGTATGGAAGAGGTAGCACTGGGCAACAGGACCCCAGGTAAGGAACATAAATACAACTATTTTTGTGTGAAAACTAAAGATGAAACTTTAGTTTACAGTCCTAAGATGAAACTATTGAAGTGCTGGATTCACAATTTGAATACTTTGTCAAAAGACATATACAACTGACATTTCTGCCAAATATTTCCAGCTTTTTGAGGGCCTGGGTTTGCACACCTTACTTCCCGTTCAACTGGAAATTTATTTTAATTTTAATAGGGTGTTAATTAGCAGTTGCAATGAATGTTATCTGACTGGAGAAGCTTATGTAAAATGTTCATGTCCTCAGTTTCTAGCCTTTGCAATGGAACTTTGTTATTCAAAAGTACAATATCTTAATTTGGTGATGCGATGCTGAAGGTTCAGAAGCTGGGTGGTCTACCTGCTCACACACTACCTCCAGCTCTGCTGCAGCACGGCTCTGTGAGAGCGTGCTCTGTGTTCTATTAGCCAGGCTACTGCAGATACTGTTGCCAGTATCAATTAGCACTTGAGCTAATTTCACAACTTCCTGCAGAGAGAAAACTCCACCACGACCCCAAGGACAGAGACCTGAACCAGAGAACAGAGGGGTAAGTGAAAAAAAAGTAAGCTCAAGTGGCTAAGTTGTTTTTATTGATAGTAGTATTTATTCATCCTGGAGGACATAACATGTCCTCCACACAGCATGAGATCCTGTGTGAGGATCCCATAGCTTACATTTCTTGCTCATCCCCAGTAGGTTGCTCCTGAATAACTGATGGCTGTGATGTGGCAGAAAACTCCATTCCTATAGTACTCTTTATCATCCCAAAGAATGGGCTAATGTGAACTGTGCTTCATGAAAACAGCCCTGTGTGGCATCACTGGAAATGCTCTTCATACTTGATCGTTCTCCATATATAAATACAAGGAACAATTTGCGTTGAGAATTCTTTGTGGAAGTACATTTCTGTCCAACTATACCTGTCATGGAAATATTTAATCCATGTGTGAACTTTTTTGGCACTGACACCTGCTTCTGGCATTTCTGTGGGATGTTACTGTACCATGGAATTACAAGTAAAAGAATGTAGATATCTGTTGGACACATGTTAATTTGAAGGGGGATCTGTGGTTTTGTTGAGCAGATTACATATAGTGAATGTAAACAGCAGCTGGCATAGGTTGAACAGGCATGTGGTAGCCAGTAGGACCGACCACAGTGTTCTTTAGCACGATGGCAGTGAGCATGACCTGATGAAACGATTGCATGTTTCCATGTAACTCAGCCTAGTGTCCTTGGAGAGCATTTGTATACCTCATGCTTCAAGCAAACAACTCTGCTGGGTGTGATTAAGGAACATTTCTGTATTGAATGTACTGGGAGCTCAGTTTGTTCTCTCTCGCTAGGGAGATGCCTTCTTATTAAATCAGCTGCAACACTTTGTTTGAACCTTTTAGCTGGTGCTGCTGTAAGTCAGAGGAATCTGGTATGAAGACACAGCAGTAGTGATGCTGCCCTCCTGTTTCCTACTGGTGCAGGACCTGCCATGCAGAGTGCTTTGCTGTCCCTGATAGTTAAATGGCAAAACGCTTGAGAAGAGTCATAGTCAAAAGACTAACTCCTCAAATCAAGGATCAACCCAGAAATGTGTGGCTTCTATTATATGAGTGAAATCATCTTTGTCCTCCCACTGTTTGGAGGTGATAGACCAGAGGGTTTTTCAGCATTGGTATCACTGTTTTAAATCTGAGACGAGAGGGCAGTTTGCTGGATTACAGAACATGGCGACCTTGAGATCTCCACAGTTTTTAAACATGATGCAACTAGTTAGATTCATATACAGTTGGTTCTCAAATAGTACACTGCTTTTATACAGTAGGATTCATCTTCATTCAGAAGACTTACCTTTTGACTTGATGTGATATTTTAGTCTGGATCCCATAGGGATCAATGTTGTTGCATTGTAACTCTTCCTTTTTCCCTCCTTTCCTTATGTCTTGCATTCCTGTCCC